ATAAATGCTGTGAATGCTGATTATTTATCATTATTTCTCACCTATAGTTTCCTACAGTCGTTTTGCTACTAAACAAGCTTAGCTGTAGTGTTTCAGTATGAAAACAGGAAGAGGAGGAGGCTGTCTACTGGGACACTGTGTCAGACTTGAACCCAGTTAACTCTCCTCTCTCCATCAGCGGTGCAGACAGCTGAGCCTCAGTACGAAGGGCCATGAGCTCATGTGCTCCAGCCAGCCTTAAAAAGGCTGCTCAGCTTGGAAAAATGCCAAAACAAGGAGCTGGATACACAATGTACGGGCTGCATTTGGTCTATTTTGATTGTGAAATAAAAGGCAGATGCACAACAAGTAGCGCAGACGTCCCACAGGACCAAATAAACTCATCAGGTAGATGTTCCCTCAATATCAATACTGCAGTAGGCAGGTAATGAAACAAGCAAAACAGGCAGGAATGTCAGTCAGAAAGACAAATGTGCTCATTAGAAACGGTCTCAGTGTTGATAAATATCTAATACACTAACACCAGTTTTACCAGCATTAGTTTATCAGATATTTTGATGACATTCACATAACAAGTAAGACTTCTGAATAATGACAAGCTAGTGTAGGAACAGTGTAACAGGAATGATTATGATTCAGCTGAAAAGAGTTGAAAGAAACACGACACCTGTGTGAAGTCTGGAACAGGCAGCAGCTCGTCCAGTCGTGATATGAACTCCCACACCAGCATCTCCAGCGCTGCATCGTACTTTGAGCCAAAATATACAGGAAAGATTTCCTACACAGGAGAAAGAGACAATCCCGTTAGTATTTCTCATTAATGGGACTATTGTGGCAGCGAAACACTAACTTTATACTTTTCACCTCTGCTGAAGAGATTTGAAGACACAGAGTTTCGAGGGGGGTAATGAGGAGGAGGAGCTCCCTGCTGGTTTCCAAAGGAGGCAGATTTTTTATGTTAAAGTTTTAAAAGTATGCTTTCATCCTGACTTAAGTTAAACACTGAAATTTGCCATCTGGAATGGACATTTTGCTAACTGCATGAGGGGTTTCCATGTAGGCACCTTGGGATGCTCAACCATGTCTGACCTGCCTGACACGTCTGAAGCATAAAATATGGACATTTATTAAGATATTTTATCAGATTTGAACTTGATATATTAAATATCTCCTGGGGTAAAACTCTGTTTGTTTGGATTAGGTTATCGAGCAATAAACACCTCCTCAATCATTTATGAAAGTTCAGTGAAAAGTGTCCGAGCATTTCTTCTTAAAAAGTACTCTAAATGGTTTGTTTTGTTATAGTGGCTTGAATCTACATGTGACTCAGAAAGTATCACTGGTTGACATCTGCACTATCATTCGTTTTGTCAATGTGTGCAAAAAAAGTTTATATTTCAACTTAAATACAATCAGAGAATATTTGATCTACTTGTCTAGAACATTGCAGATTCTGAATCAGTGGGATGATGAGAAACACCAGTAAGGATTCCTGCTTTCATTTGTTGCAGATCCTGAGATGTTGGTGTTCAAAATAGCTTCAAATTTTAATGTGAAAAAACTATTTGAAATCTAGAGTTTATGAATAAAAAGTTTCAAGCAAATCAGAGATGGTCGAGCAGAAGGCCCCTGATGATTTGAGGTTTTTAAAACCAATGAGGAGACCAAGACCAGCTGGACCGAATGCTCAGCAGTGTGGAAAATGTCTGTTTCAGGCGGCTAATTCATCTGTTTAGACTCAAAAACAATCCCAGGTCCAAGTCTACTTTCTTTGGGAGGCTGCGGTCAGCTCATGCTAATTCCCTGAATCTGTACACGGGAGGTGAAGAGGACACGTTGTTGTCAAGAAACTGTGTTCTGACCCGACGAGAACACTCCTGCAGCATGTGACTTCTGAGAGTTGTTTCATTTCCCTGATGTAAAGGTGTAACTAAATGTCTCATGAAACCATTCAAGGAAGTCAGTACGGCACTTGACCTGGCTTACATCAATGCAATGCAGCCTGCTGTTCATTATTTAAAACTGGCAGCTGTCTTCTAATATAATCAGTCCTGTATGCAGAGGACATTTTCCCTATAGATGCTGACATGCAGCTATACAGACGTCCTTTGTGCTTCATAATTAACACAAACTGTACACTCACAGTATGAACGCAGTAGTAAAACTGGGTGGAACCTCTATTTGGATTAAACTAGACGCTGTCCTTAGAGACTCCAATGTTGACGTGGCTGCATCCTGTAATTCTGGTAGATCTGTCAGCTGCACATACATCCAGAGAATATTACGTTCCACCACATCCCAGAGGCGTTCTGTTGGGTCCACTGTGGAAGCCACTAAGGCCCACTTCATTGTCATATTTGTGAAACCAGCTTGAAGAGGCTTTTTCTTTGTGATATGGTGCATTATCAAGCTGGAAGCAGCCATCAGAGGATTGTAAATTGCAGCCATAAAGGGACACACATGCTCAGCAACAATACTCAATCGATTGGTATGAAGGGGCCCAAACTGAGCCAAGAAAACATTCCCCACACGAACACGCCACCAGCAGCAGCAGCAGCAGCCTGGACAGTTGACACACTGTTGACGCCAAATTGTGAGCCTACCATCTGCAGCCTCGGTAGAAATGGAGATTCATCAGACCATGCTACATTTTTCCAGACTTCAGCTGTCCAGTTTTGGTGAGTCTGCACACTCAGATTTCTGTTCTTGGCTGGCAGGAGTGGAACCCAACGTGGCGTTCTGCTGTTTTATGGTTCGACATGTTGCGAATTCTGAAATGCTTTTCCGCTCATCACAGTTGTGGAGTAACTGTAGCCTTTCTGTCAGCTCAAATCATCCCACGTGAAAAACACAAACAAGCAACAACAAGAAAATAAACATGTCTCACCTGGAAAAAATATTTTCTTTCAGAGGGATCCTCCAGTAATGAATGCACCAGCTCCACAAAGTTCACCTCAGATTCCTCAACCTGGTTGATGGTCACCTGATAAACACACAACATAAATACAAAAATGCTCAAATCAGGGGAAGGTAAAACAAACATTGGCTCACATATTCCACATCCGGACCTTACTATGCCGACACTTAACAGTCAGCTACTGTATAATAGTCTACTCTGGAAAATATATTTAATTCGAAAGGACACAAAGAAAACACTCTTGCTGCTATGAAACTCAAGTTTTCAGCAGGTTTCAACAAGCCATTAGACGGAGGAATAAATCGAGCTAAAGTGCGCTTACATGGTGATCCTTGGCAGTGCTAACAGGAGCTTTTATTCTGTCCAGATGTGGCTGAATGGTCTGCATGTCCGCCGGGTGTTCCCCTCGACACATCTCCAGAACCAGCTGGTTTCACACAAAAAACAAATACATCACGCTCACGGTTTATGCTGAACTTCAGCTACAGAGGAGTTATGCTTTAGGTCTGCTTTCTCTTCTGTGTGACTTAAATTAGGAACTGTAAACAGTTCGACATGTTTGACTGTTACGCCTCTGCCTACTTACTTAAAGAGAAAGAAATTAAATCAACTGCTGTAGCGCTGCATTTGCAATTGTCATCATTCCCTCAGTAGCTACATAAATTAAAAATAATTACAACAAAATGCGGCCTTTCAGTGTGATCAAACAATAAATACTACTCACCCTGGCCCTGAGTCCCAGGATCAGCTGAGCCCTCTGACTGTAGCTCATCAGCTCGGGGACCAGCTCTGTCACCATGGTAACAAACTCCTCCAGCATCCCATAGTGATCCACAAGTCCCTGCTGAACAACTTGCCACACTGCAGCTGACAAGAGCTGCAAGGGAGGGGCCAGCAGGCGCAGATAGCGGATTGGAAGATCATTACCTGAAGGACAGCAGAAACGTGAAGGAAACACAAAAACGTTTCAACACTTCGTGAAACTGACTCTTTTGTTCCAGCCTGTTACATAAAGAGAATTTCTGTGCATCAATAAGCAACAGTAAGTGCTTCAAATTCCAGTAGTGACTCACACCCTGATTGGAAACAGAGCAAGCATACACAAGTTCAGTAAAGCATTTATTGTATCTCTAAACTCTCAGGTTACATGAACCACTAACTGCAGAAACGCAGCTATGCACTTGATCGCTCTAGCTGTTTTGGGATTTTATGGATTTAAATTTAAAGGTCCCACATGATCAATGTCCATTTTTATTGTGCTCCAGTCAGCATAAGCAGCTGTGTCACAGTCCACCAGGTTTGTTCAGCTTCCAGAGCTCCTTCTGCTAACTCTGAAATGTCTCAGCAATGAGCACAATACAACAAATGTTCTGCTGTTGGCTGCAAAAGTGAACATAAGAGCCTTCATTCACTCCCAGCGTCTGAGGAACTGAATGCCCAATGAATTCTTTTCATTTTTTATCTCAATGTCACCACCACAATAATAATTAAAAACAAAAAAACTCCCAGCACTTTGTGAAGCTGATGTGGCTAACACTACCATTAGCTTTGATCAGCAATCTGTGGAGACGTTAATGCTGACGGACATTTAGAAACGTTAGGACTGATCTGAAACCATAAACAACTTGTTGTTTTTTATGTTGCCTGCCATGCGTCAGTGCAACCTCAGTTACCTGCTGTTTACTGTTTACTTCTCTCCTGCTCCCTGTGCTCACACATACTGTATTTTAATACAGCTGAATTCCCAATAAAATTGATCTTATTTATATATTCCTCTGTTTGAGCTGTTGGAAAGTGAGACATGTATGAAATAGTGGCTGAAAGGCAGCCCATTAAGACTACATGTTAACCAGCAGTCACTTTAGAGTCACGCTGCAGCTCTGCACTGCTAAAATATCACATTTATAACAGCAACATTGCTTAACAAACTCACCATACATGAGATAAAATCAACAGATTCGATGTGAATTTGTTGATATTTCCAAAAAAAAATGATCAACTCAGGAGAATGTTTGAAGCAATACAAACACGTATACATGACTATTACAGCTGTCAACTGTTTTGCTCTGTGCTGTCAATCACAAACGCAGATAGAGTCTCAATGACAGATGCAGAAACAGCCTAATTACAACAGAACTAAGCAGACATGGTGAAATTAACCATCTTTCCAGCATTTTTGAGACACATTCTGGGGACATGTGACACTTTCACTCATTTGCTAAACAGATACACAACATGGACCTTTTAACCAATCAATAAGCGGCTTTATATGGACATGTATGGACATTTGCCGGCCTTTTACCCTTTGGCAAGGCATTAAACAGATGTGCTTTCCCGGCGATTCACATGCTAAGAAACTATATTTAGACCTTCCAATGAGGTTGTTTTAAGAGCTGGCTTCTCAGCTGACTTTCCAGAAAATTCCCTTCATCAAAACAACGACATTGCAACAGAGAGGTACATGTGTTGGCAGACAATATATGACAATTATTCTATTTGTCCAGTATAGTAATTAATTTCTATGATCCCTGCATACAAGGTGAAGTAGCTTCGTATACATAGAGAGCAATCTTCAGATTTTTGCTTTGAATATTTTGCAGCGGCAGAAGGAAACTGTACATGTACATTATAACGTTTTTAAATGCATCTTGCTGAAAATGTTTGACATGATTCTGGATTTCTTTATGTGTCTGTGTCACTTAAATTTCAAAGTATTATTCACCAGTGTGCCTGAGAGGAAGCAGGCTGGTGTAGTTCTTTACATGATTTTATGAATGCTGCTGATGGAAAGGAAACATCCCAAAGCACTCCTGTTAAACGCAAACCAGCAGTGACACTTGGTACACGTAATTTATCTGCACTTGTACAAGCATCCTGAGTCGACAGCATCCACCTGACACTTCATATGCCACACTATGCAGAAGTGAGCATGATTTATGGTGGCAAAGTGCCGTGTGAAATAATGACATGAGGGTGGTGCTCTCAGGTGCACTGACAGCAGCATCCATCAAATTCACAACAAACTCACAACAGGAGTTACACAACTTATTGCTGACCTTTACACTGGAGGCTGCACAAGCTATTGGATTTTCTGACAGATGCAATACAGGAAATAACGAGAATAATCAGTTTAAAAAAAAAAAAAAAAAAAGCAGGTGATGGATTTTTTTTTTTTAAGCCAAACCACTCATCCACTGATGGAAAACAAGCTTCAGTTTCTATTGAACCTCTTCTAGGATCAAGTTGGAGCCGCTGCAGGAATATTAATCGAGAATAAAAGCAGCTCCAGTACCGGTGTTAAGGTCACTGTAAACTGACTGCTGCCAACACAAAGATCGGGGATCATAGAAGACTGATTTTTTTTTATTTTATTATGAGGATACACGCACCTCGGTTGCTTCCACTTTCAGTTCCGCGTTTTATTTCCATTTAGCAGCTGACAAGAGAGAAAAAAACCGGCCAGATGTCGCCCTCGGGTTGTAGCTATCAGGAAAAAAACAAAAAAACAAAAATGCACATAAAGACTGATGAATGAATTCTGTTAATTTTTCTTTTTCTTTTTTTTTTTGATTAATAAAACAAACATCTGCGATCGCCAACCCACAAAATGCGAGCGCAAAATTTTGCCGGACGCATGGACAGGCGCTCGCCTTTATTCTCGCATTGGGGAGGAGAGACAGAACAAAGGTTTCTGGTCTCATCCGCCTCAGTCCAGATCACGGCAAGCCCTCTTTCCTGGTTGGTTGACGAAGACCGGATCAAGCAGACAGTTTGGATGCTGGGACACTAGATGGCGCTGATAGGTCGCAGTGGGATTGTGTGGATGGATGCTGGGCAGACAGAACCAGACTGATCCTCCACATCAGGGAACCCAGTGGGGGCCACAAGTCCTGCATTCAAACTTTAGCTAACTTAAAACACATTAAAATCTGTATATAAGTCAAGATCCAAAAGAAAAGCTCCCCTTTGTGCAAGATTGCTTTCAAAGTACTATTATAAAGACCTACATTACAAATCAGATCACCATAAACAGTGTACAACAGAAGTGAGTGCATCCTGTGCATCATCCCTCACATTGCATCACCTGCACTGCATTATTTGTATAGTTGAACAGTATGGTATTTGATTTACCACAATGAAAACACATCTTTCACTACTGAGATTCCAGCCTTCCACATTTATTTTGGTAATCGGTCTTCCTCGACGTGCCACATTTCTGGAGTGATGTTCTGCTGGAGGGGTTGAGTTGCTCTACCTTTCTCTTACCCCAAAGGTTATAGATTCAAATCAGGGTGACAAATCAGTTCACAGTTTTTACTGTTTTCTTCTTCTGTATGCATTAAATTACTATCATTCATCTTCTGTCAAGCTTCTGCACACCAGGAGTTACCTAGTCAGCCAGTATTTTGGTTTATCCTCACACATTCATGGTGCCATCGATAAATAACATCTTCTGCACTCATTCAGCCCTGTGTCATTACAATTCAACCTCCGTGCTTCACTGTCAGCACTATGCATTCACTGTGGCAGTGCTGGCCAGGTTCACGCCACACATGTTAGACTCATCTAAGCCAAAGAAAGTCATCCGGCACTCATCTGACCAAAGAACATGCTTCCATAATCCATCAAAGTTCTTTTTATGTTTCTTAGCAAAGTTTCATCTTGCAGTTTTTGTGCCAAAGAGCAAGCAAGAGTTTTTTTCCTTGTACTCTGTCCACAGATGTTGACAATATGCGCTGTCCTTCACGCTGTCTGTGCCATCACAAAAACTGATTTCTACTGAAAACCACGGTGCCAAATCTGAGGCACATGTCCATCTGTTGTTCAGAGGATTGTTCAAGTAGTGCACTGTTTGTGGCATAATTTTAAGAGGGCGACCACTGCAGCTCTGATTCGTGGTAGTGTCGCTTGTTTTATACATCCTGTGTACTGCTGCAGTTGTGTTTAAACTGATTTTTAGTCAGTCACCTTAATTTTTCTTCATCTTTGTGAAGTCTCACAGTCAAAATTCTTCAATTACACTGACTGATGCAGACATAAACACTGGGGACTAACCCCAAAACAGCACTCAATAACTTTATAAGCCATACGTGGCCCTGGGTTCATTAGTTAAATGTGAACTACAGACCAAAGGTAACCCTGTCTGAACAGTGTGAAATTTATGTCCATGCAAATTAACACTAAAACTTCTACTGGACCAGCCTAGTGCCGGATGACCGACTCCTGACCCCCCAGTTCCTCAATCAGGACCCTGCAAAGGAAATGGGATTCTAAATCCACAAAAAAGACTCGTTCATGGACCCTTAAAGTTTAACCTGGACACACAAAAACACAGAAGCCCAGGCACTCAGACCACCCATCAGGAACCATGTGTTTCACTGACATATACTGCAGACTTGTAGCATTTATATTGTTCAACATGTTCAACATTCCCATACAAACAGTGAAATGTGTGATCCCAACTTAAAACCCATTTTTATGGACTTGCTTTTGTATGATGTGGTCTCTCTTACTCTGTGCTATGGCATATTTAGTGCTGTTACTATTTTAATTATATCGATTGTTGTTTGTCCCATGGTGTCATTGATATTAAAAATTCTGTATTTTGCATTTTGTATCTTTTAATAATAGCATTAACTTTATTATAATGATTATTATTAGATAAAGACCAGCTGCCTTGCCAGTTACAGTCCACATCTTGGTCTCTAAATGCTTCGGCTTTGCTTTATTTCATGTTTGGGAAACTATATTGGTGAAGAAAATCTTTCTTATTGCTACAGTTATGAACAAACACTGAGCCTCAGTTCAATCAGGAGGGATTTTGCGAGACCTGATATGATAAAAATAAAACTTTATTAACCCTGATGGAAATGCTTGTGCCAGAAATTGCTCAGAAAACAAAATTGTATGACATAATGTAATCCCTCCTAGAAAAACAACAGGATATAAATAAGATATATAAAATGAAGTAAGCTAAACAAGAGTAGAAAGTAACTGGCAGTGATGTGGCAAAGTGGTATAACACATGATAATGAAATATGGCACACGAAAAATTAAATATTAAATCTGTTTAATACTGTTACCCACCTTTTTGTGCATATAAATATGTGTTTGTATGTCAGTGTACATGAACACTACTTGCCAGACGGTCCTTTGCTGTGTGTGCACTTCAAGGCAGAGAGATGAAAACTGTCCACTAAGTTCATCCAACTTTCCTCTTATTTTGTCAACAGTGAACTGGAAGTGTTCGCTAATTACTCATATTTTGAATTTCTACTACACCGTTAGCTCGACTACACACTCCTGAAAGCAGCGTGTATTAACAGAAGCGTGTCTTCTGACTAAAAAACCTACAAACTGACGAACTGCCGTGTAGCCTGCTAGCTACATGAGCAGCTAGCTGCAGCGGCTAGCACAACTAAGCTAACTGACGCGCTGCTGGGATGGCAGGAAGTCCAGCTTTGTGTGTTTGTAATTACTTCAGAGAGATTAGACGGTTAGAAATGCTAAACGCTTCTGTCCGCAGTAAATACCACTTTACTTGAACCGTGTTGCTAAGTTTAACAGGAAGTTATGAATAGTAAACAAACCATTCCTGAGGAACATCCGGGTTTAACAATCAGAGCAGTTTGCACATCAGCGCCCCCTGCTGCTCCGGAGGAAGCCATGTTTCTGTCAAATAAAAACTTGACTCCACTTGCAAACTTTAACATATTTTTTCCCCCATTATATGCATTGATTTGTATAATATTAAAATCCAGTAGACCGTCTATCGATCATTATTAACAGCCTGCAGCAACCAGTCACTTGTTTGGAAGTTCTTCTATGTGGACCAAACTATTAGTCATGTATTTGTTATTTATCAAGTGAAAGATCTTGATTGTTGCATCTTGAATGTAAGGATCTACT